AATCAAAGTGAGCTGGCTCAGAGCCACAAACCTTTGTTATCATTCTTTCTTTTTCTATTCTTATCTAGCTTTCTGATGAAATCCTTTCTTCTATTCTTTTAGTATAGTTTTAATATAATATATATCATAAAATAATAAATCAAGCCTTCTGAAACATGGAGTCAGATCCTTGTCTCTTCCCTCAACCTGAGACCCCTGTGAACACGGTTACATTCCCCAGCCCCACACATCAGCCTCAGCTCCAGCCTCCACAGCCCCTCAGCCACTCTCCTTCCTGTGCTGCTGCCCTGTCAATGGTGAGCTGCCCAACCTGAGTGTCCTGAGCCAGAGCTGAGGCTGCACCCCAAATCCCAGCCCTGGTTCAGCCATCAGAGCACCAGCCCTGATGGCTGAACTCCCACCAGTGCGGAAGGGTGATGCAGCTGCAGAGCCTGGTGCACACCCCTGGCATCCTCCTCTCTTGGTTTGTTTACGCCCCTCCTGTGTTATGGACATGGTGCATCTTGCTAGGGCTGTTTGGGACCTCCTGCACCACCTCCATGAGGCTCAGGGGGAAACTGGGTACCAGGGAGATGCTCCAGAGGAGCTCCAAGCCTCTCTCAGCAGAGCTGGGGGAGGTAAAGTGCAGCAGAGCCATTTCTGCAGCAGAACATCCTCCCCTGGAGCCATCAGCATGATTAACCCACAGCCCCCAGCTGCGTGCTGCACTCCAGAGCGCTTTGCCTTGGCTGTCTGTCCTGCAGTACCCCCCCATTTCCATCTACCTCATCCTCCTGCACTGCAAAGGCTCTCTCTGCCAATTCCCTGGGTTGCACAGAGCCAGGACAGGACATACCTGCGTGGCAGAGCTGCAGCCCCTTCCCCAACCTTGCAACCTGAGTGCACAGACCCCCTTCCAGGGCCGTGAGCACAGCAAGGGGCTGAGCAGGAGGACACGCACCCACCTCCGTCTCGCTGCCCTCACGCAGGTTGAAGGTCAGATCCTGGTGGATGTCAGCTGTGAACTTGCTGGCGTACTCGGGGTAGAGCTGCAGCACCTCACAGAGCCCCCGCAGGCCGATGTGCTGCAGGTCACAGTAGGTCAGAGCCTTCACGTCCGCGTTGGTCTTGATCACCTGGTCCGTTCTGCACAGGTCGGCTCCAATCAAATCCCCTTTGCCTGCAGGAGGGGCTGGGCTCAGTGACACGAGCCCCTCGCTATCACAGACACATCTTTTATGGAAAATCCTTTCCTTAGGATTTTTCCTCCTCAGAAGCTGAGAGGCCTCAGGAAATGTAATCAATGGTTATCTGCTGCTGTGGAATGCAACAGGTGCATCTGTGATTGGTCTCATGTGGTTGTTTCTGATTAATGGCCAATTACAGTCAGTTGGCTTGGACTCTCTGTCTGAGCCACAAGCCTTTGTTATCATTCTATTCTTAGCCAGTCTTCTGATTAAATCCTTTCTTCTATCCTTTTACTATAGTTTTAATATAACATATATCATAAAATAAATCAAGCCTCCTGAAACATGGAGTCAGATCCCTTCCCTCACCCTAAGACCCCTGTGAACACGGTCACACCCTCACCCCTCACCCTGGGGCAGAGCCTGCTCCACCTGCCCTCACCCAGGATGGCCAGCACCACGTTGTCCTTCAGCACCTCCAGGGAGCCCGAGCACACGAAGTAGTTGGCCTGCAAGGCGTCGCCCTGGCGCAGCAGGTACTCGCCCGGGGCACAGAAGGAGGTTTTGATGTGCAGGGACAGCGAGCGGAGGCAGCCCCGGCTGGCGGTCTCGAAGATGGGCAGCTGCAGGATGTCCTTGTTGAGGTGCATGGCCACGTCCGCGCGCAGCTCGTCGGGGAAGTCGTGGAGCAGCTGGGGACAGAGGAGCCGGGGTGTCACTCTGGTTTTTTAACATTTTCTAGGCCTTCTGATGTTAATGTTCTTATAGCAAGCTTTCTCACACACTTTCTGTAAATAACTCATTGTTTCGCATTCCTTTATAGAAGAAGAAAAAGTTAATAGATTGTTCGTTTGTCCAGTGTCATCGGAGAGGTGGCGCTGTCACCCTCCAATCCACTGTCACTCTTGGAAAACTATAAATGTTAGAGTCAAAAAATAAACTTCCCTTTTTCTTCACCTTGAGAACAGTGGTGTGCACTTGTGTTCTTT